ATAATTGATTCTCGCGAAAACCAGTGACATTCCAAATAAACACTCGTAAGCGTTTAGCAGTTATGTTTTTCTCAAAGAACAACACACAAACCGACATTTTACATTTTTCTGTGCACAAATATTTTCTTTACAAGTACTTACCAGCAAGAAACTGACGATCATACTCCGGTTTGTGAAATGAGCGTCTCCTTTGCGTCTTCAATTTTTGCCGATTTAACTCCCTTGTTTTACTCACATTTATCGTGTGTATAAATTACTTTGAACGAAATCATTATTGCTGTAATTATTGGCGTTGATTACCTCAATGCTATATCTAATACTAGTAAAAAACGCAAGTTTTCAATCGAATCGACGTTTACCGTCCGCCATTTTTAAGATGATTTACTGCCAAGTTAAGAAATTTCTTAACTTTAAGATAGGGTAGTAGCTGACTTATATTTAAGACAAAAATTGTCCATCTTAAGACAAAACTTAAGATAAAAAACAGTTGTGAATACCACTTAAGTAAATTGCGAATTATTATCTTAAATCTAAGAAAATTTCTCAAAATATAAGAAAAATCTTATATTTAAGTCAAAAAATTAACTTAAGATCAGTTGTGAATACGGCCCCAGGTCTGTCTCTTGCCATGTTAATTTGGCCCAAGGAAACTGATGAGTTATTCATTGATTCCATTTTCTGTGAGGATTTTCAACGTATAATTATACTGAGCATTTTAATTCCAATAACTCTTAATTCTATTAATATGTGGAGAATATTTATCAATTTTCTGCATAACCCAGTAACTGTGCGTGGCATGTAATGGTTTACAGAAGGCATGTACTTAGCGTCTATTCCTGATGTTGTCTTTAATATGATTTAAAAACCAGTTCAATCGATTAGTATAGATCCACGAGTACCTTATTTTTTAAGGAAAAAAATGATACTGTTGTTAATAAAAAGGTCTCACATTTCTGTAATAGTTTGCAATCATATGAAAACTCATGAAAAGTCGATGCATGCATTTGTTCTAAAATGGTACTCCGAAATATGCCAGGTTCTTGGTATTTGAGGACAAATTTATTTAAAACGGACGTTTATGACAAATACTCAAAGCTTTTCTTAATTCTTAGAATATTGACATTCAACAATTTTGGTGTTTTTCTATATTATAGCAATTGTAGAAAATGTTCTTTGAAGTTATTGAAAATTTGAAACCTGAAACACATATTAAATCATAACGAGGTTTTCCTCAGCACGTTTTAATTTGGTTGATAATAACCATTACATTGATTCATTATCTTTTTTTCTTCATTTTTATCCAAGATTCATGTTGATAACTTTTACCATGTTTGAATAATGGGCTTATTAGAATCGTTCTATATGGATTCTTGAAGGAGTTTGACCATACATCTGAAATAAGAACAAATTATATACATATGAATTGGGAGATAAGATAATCAAAATGATTACTTTTGAGAATTAAAATATATATGTGTATATTTCTTGTTTTTAAATATCTATAGATAACAATTAAAACCGGAATTAAGGAAAATGTATATGATTGGGGTGGGCCTGGGAGGGGTGTCCCCTGCCATAGACTGAGAAAATTTTGAAATATGAGTTTGAAAATGGTGCTATTTCCTTTAACATCACATTGTATTTTGTATAGGTTAGTGTTTGCAGGGTCTTTCAAATAGAATTGCCCTGGTGTTTAGTAGTAAGCATTTATTAAATGACAGCACACTTACCAATGTATGCGCGACCATTGATAAAAATAATTTCAAACACTTGATCAATTTATTCATCTGATAAATAGTTTGGCGAATTTCCAAAGTACTAGTAAAGTGTTATTAAAATACTGCCTTTCTATTGTACAAAAAATAATTTCAAACACTAATATTCAATAAAAATCTTATGTCCCAGCTGTGAGCGAAAGGAAGATCGCTGAATTTGAACGCCCCTGGATCCGGGATCGTATTAGAGGGAAAACTAATAAACTATATTTGTGTTGATTATTGCCGTAATGAAAGGCGATTAAACGTTAAGTTTTTATTTTTTATTGTATGTAATGAACGCTAAATTAATTTAACTTAGGATATAAAAATATATTTAGATAACATATATTTGTTTCAATACGATCCCGGCTTTTCTGAAAACTATATTCTTGAACTGGTCAATTCCCGGGATCTCTATATGTTTTAATACGATCCCGGCTTATCTGAAAAATATCTTCTTAGACTTGTCAATTTCCTACTACTACAAATCAAACTTATTCAGAAATCTCTACAAAAACATTCAAATAATAATAATAATAATAATAATAATAATAATAATAATAATAATTATAATAACATAAATACACCGAAAGTAGGTGGTCAATTCCCGGGATTACTATATGTTTAATACGATCCCGGGTCCCGGCTTTTCTATAGGCGACCCCCCCCCCCCCCCCCATTGAATCATCATAATGATTATTTTTTTAAAACAAATATTATTCAATTTTGATAACAAACGTTTGCAAACTGCAATATCAATATACAATTCAATGTAAACGCTATAAGTAGTATTTTTAAAGTCACTTTCGCTCACTTTCGTCAGAAAAAGTCACTTTCGTATTTAAGTCATACCGCTTATCTTCATATGTTTTTCTTTGGGGTAATTTTGGGGTACGTTACGATACCGAAATCAACTTGATTTCGGTAAAGTTACCGAAATCAACTTTTCATTACCGAAATCAACTCGTAAAAACCAACCTAGTTAAAATATTGCTATTATTTCTTCATTATTTGATGAAAAATAGTAAAATAGACTTTCAGTTAAAAAATATATTGAAAATATTTTATTTTAATGATGTTATTAACAAAAATGTAATTATTGAGTTACTTCCCTTTGTTCTAAACAACCCGTTATGTGTTTAGCATTACCGAAATCAACTCGTAAAAACCAACCTAGTTAAAATATTGCTATTATTTCTTCATTATTTGAAGAAAAATAGTAAAATAGACTTTCAGTTAAAAAATCTATTGAATTTTTTTTATTTTAATGATGTTATTAACAAAAATGTAATTATTGAGTTACTTCCCTTTGTTCTAAACAACCCGTTATGTGTTTAGTATTACCGAAATCAACTCGTAAAAACCAACCTAGTTAAAATATTGCTATTATTTCTTCATTATTTGATGAAAAATAGTGAAATAGACTTTCTGTTAAAAAATCTATTGAAATTTTTTTATTTTAATGATGTTATTAACAAAAATGTAATTATTGAGTTACTAGCCTTTGTTCTAAACAACCCGTTATGTGTTTAGTATTACCGAAATCAGCGGTGAAGTTTAAATTATGTATATAATTAGTAGATAGTAGATTAGATAACTCTAGTAGAGCTCTATTTTATAGACATATTTCTGTTTTTAAGTTTCAACCATATCTAAATATTATCAATGTTGAACGGTTTTGTAAAGATCTCACTACGTTAAGAGTATCAACTCATAGATTGCACATAGACTCAGGTAGATGGACTAAACCAAATAGTACACCTTTAAATGATAGAAAATGTTTTTCATGTAATGTCTTAGAAGACTTAGTACCATTTCATATTAGAATGCAATGTATATAATGATTTAAGAAAAAGTCTGATACCGCCATATTAGCATGTTATATATCTGCACGTGATTGTCGTGCATAACAATTTTCTAAATAAAATTGTATTTTTAAAAAGCTATGATCGGACTATGATGGAAAAATAAAATATTCTGTAATATGAGTTAAAGATAATTATAAATTTTGTACATGTTTATGTTTTATGAAGAAAAAATATCCAACTTCAATCGGAAGTTTATGATTTTCTATTATAAATTTGAATACAGATATATAATTCGACTGCTCTAAAAATGTTCCATAAATATTGTATGATGTATCAGGCAGTAAAATTGGAAATTTGAAAGTTTGTGTCTTTCTTTTATTGAACAGTTTAACTATATATTAACAAATCACTAACATATGTTATGGGGACTCTTTATTATAATATTTTTATATTTTAGTCATTTACTTAAATGTTTAATACGAAATAAACAGATGGTTCATTATAATCTACATACAATATATGTCAACTGTACCTCCTGTCTTAATTACTTCACACCTTACTTAATACAGTAATACACAGCATGTCATATCGTACAAGTTACAACATTTCATAATTGAAATTTGTCAGTAAAAAGTGTTCCTTTTTTTTCATCATATAAATATATACCAGTCATTCCATAAATTTATGCTGTTTACAGATATGAAATTTAAAATGATTTTAAATCGATCAACATAAAATCATGACTTAACACTTTTTCAATAAGTACAATATGTAGTTAAGTATCCGGGACATCAAAAAACTGCATACATTTTTGGAACAACTGATATGCAATTTGGTAATAATAATATCAAAGCACCTTGTCTCATATACCGAAATGTTTTCTACGGCCACCCCTACAAATTAGTTAAAACCGGTCTTAGATTATAATGAAAAAAATATAATAGAACGCTTAATTGTGATTTTACAAGTCGATTTCGGTATTGTAACATATATTTCGGTTCGTGACAAATCAGGGAATAATCTTGATATTTAGTTATTTGTTTCTAATATCATTATTAATGATTATTTCGAACTGATTTTTTGCATGAATGTCAAACTAAACCTATTGTAATAGATTATAATGAAAAAAATATAATAGAACGCTTAATTGTGATTTTACAAGTCGATTTCGGTATTGTAACATATATTTCGGTTCGTGACAAATCAGGGAATAATCTTGATATTTAGTTATTTGTTTCTAATATCATTATTAATGATTATTTCGAACTGATTTTTTGCATGAAAGTCAAACTTAACCTATTGTAATATATAATAATGAAAAAAATATAATAAAACGCTTAATTGTGATTTTATAAGTTGATTTCGGTAATGAAAAGTTGATTTCGGTAACTTTACCGAAATCAAGTTGATTTCGGTATCGTAACGTACCGGTAATTTTGTAATGGCGGACAAGGAAACAGAAAATCCGTTTGGACTTTGCAAAAATGACGCAGACTTTTTAAAGTACTTTCACACATGCATAAAAGAACTTCGAGGATTGGTGATCAGTAATATAGAATATTACCAACGTGGAAAATCCAGCATTCATGCTTGTTACTATGCAACTTCTTGCATTTTATTGGAAAGAACTCAAGTTTTAGAACCACTGGTGATAGATATCGTTCCAAAACTGGGAAATTATGACTTTTCTGAGACAGTTCAGGCAAATGGATATCGGAGTTTTATAAGTATTGTCAATAGGTTTGTAAATATGTACAGAAATCATAAAATGAATGTATGAAATAGGCAGCGGGCTCTAAGCTCAGTGTCTAACAGATTTTACACTTTTTCACTAAGTATAATACTTAAATTTATAACCATATTTATTTAACCCAGGGGCGCGACACCCTTTTAACTACATAATTATTATAACACACAACTGCTCATTTTAGGCCACACAATTCACTGAAATATGAATGCACTATAGACCTTTTTACGACGCAGTCCGTTGCTATGAAAAATCGACTGGAAGTAGTATTTCCCCACACATATGCAATCTGCGTAGGGCAAAAAAGCATAGTCTAACATAGAAATATAGAAGAAGTTCATAGACAATTCCGAGATAGTTTTATAAGGTAAAAGGTAGAAATGATATGAAATAGCTTTAAACAAAAATAGAAAAGATTCCTTTATAGCTTTTTTGCCAAGATTGCCATAAAAAGGCATGGAAAAGGAAATTGTTTAAGAATTCCCCCTTTAGGTGGGTCGCCTACGGTCACGGACCTGACATTGAGATTTTTTTTAAAAATAAATGTGGAATTATATCTTTTATTCAAATGGGAGTCAACTAAATTGTTGTTGAAATAGTTAATTACAAAGATAAAAGAAATTTTATAACATATGAAATTGAGGTTAATTAGCATTCTGAAAATAGTCAAAACAGGCCCGGTGATAATGCATTTTTAGTGTTCAGTTTACCTGATTTTATCCTTTATTTGGCTGTGATGCAAAACAGATAATTTTTAAGTCACATAAATATATTTTAAACAGTTATTTTTTTTCAAAATCTTTAAGGAAAGTGAAATAACACTCATTTTATCCAGTTCCTCGTAACACATGTTAATATTTTTTAATGCAAGTCACATTAATTGTCACTTCACAAATCAATAAACATTGACGAGATCGGTATTTTAAAAGTTACTTAAATTCCGATTTTCATAATTGTATGTGAACTAACTAACATTAACTATGTCTATGTCATGGTTCTGAAACATCCCTGTTGAATGATATTTATACAATATCTAGCTGGAAACAAACAACCACGGTCGCCTGTCAATCTGTTTGACACTTACCACCTGGCCAGTACAATACACATTGTGTAATATTATGTAATACAGGGGTAAAAAAATTTAATCTTTAACACCCTGCTGTTTAAATTTAAATTACGGATCAAAAAGTCGTCTAATGATACCTTAAACAGACGTCTTTTGTATGCGCCTTTTGACCAAGTCAATGTGTGCCAAGTCGCGCAACAAATGACTTTTTCAACTAAATTCAGTTAATCTTAAACGTATCTTCAATGCATCTACCATAAATTTGTTTTCACTTGAGGTTATGACTTAAATACTTAGTAACTTACTTAATAGCTTGAAGCAGCCAGCCGGGTCATCTCGCGTGTGGATTGGCGGTTTGATCTGCGTATTATACTATTATTCGTCAATATTTTTTTTTCTATTTCATTATCTTATTCCATGGTTTATATGATTTCACATTTAAAATTGAATCCACACGTCAGAGAACACATAAATTCACATCAAATCAAATTTAGGGAAAAAAGAAATTGCTGAGGAAACCTTGTGATGATTTAATAATGTGTTTCAGGTGCTGTGGACATTTGCTGCAGCTGTGCCGGCATATAAACATTAACAAGAGTAGTTTACTGTTTCGCTCATCACATTACCTGAAAGAACTGGAAAGCTATGTTGAAGTATTAGGACAATTGATGGCTTTTCTAGGGTATATACACTTTATTAGATTTTGAAAATTGTCAAAGCAGTTTTGTTTGTAAGATTTTAAGTCACATGGACACTGTTTAGGTCATTTGGTGCCATTCCAGCTTTACTGGTGAAGGAAGACCTCAGATGCCCCATCCTGCATTATTTCTGGCAAGAGGTGGCACTTGAGTAGAACCGCTGACCTTTCCTAAGTTAGCCGGATATCTTCCTTATGAAAGAATCAAGAGTCCATAAATTGGATTTGAACCCACAACTGTTGAATATATTTTCAAAATTTTCTTAAAAATTAGCATGAATCTAGAGGCATGATGCTTAACTTCAAACCACTTGCCTCTCAACACTGCCAGGGACCTTTTTTGCTATAATTCAGCTAGCTTACATGAGGTTTGTGGTTCTGCAGGGCTTCCATTAGTAGAAGTATGGAAGCCATTAACTCCTGATATTTGCTTGTGACTTCTAAAATCTGTCTTTAATACCAATAATATGTGATATCCAGTGTCAGACATTCTGCAGTTTCTGACTTCAAAATAAAGAATGTAATGTTTCTTCAGTTCCAAATGATTAAATCACTTAATTTTATTGTTAGCATTTAGCTTGACTATTTGGAGAATAGAGAGAGCTATTGTACTTGTCAAGGTGTCTGCATCGCACATTGGTAAACTCTACATTATCCAGGCTCTTGTTTCCTATCAAGCACTGAGAATAGTCAAGCACTCTGTCCTACTGACAGCTGTTGTTGAATAAGTGTGTTAAACAGTAACCATACATTGTATCTGAGTAATGTAAGAAGCAACTTATAATAATAATGATAATAGATTATATACTTTCACAAATAGATTTTATTACTTTTCATGCAATTTTGCAACATTTCAAACAGGTACCTGCAGCAGCTGATGTTGTTAAGTAAAGATGGAGATTTATTTTTGGACAATGATGAGGCAGTTGGTGATGATTTACTGCTCGAGGTAGAGATGTTGAACACTGACTGCTTCTATGGAAGGTGTATGGGTTTTCAGGTAATTGATTGGTCCTTAAAGTTTCCAATTTTCAATGAAAAGTCAAGTTGCTGAATTTAGGTAAAAGTATTATGTTCTGGATAAAATTCAGACTGCAGTACATTTCATATCTCAACCCCAGAGTTAGTTTATATTGACAAGAGTTATTAATTGGAGTTTAGCTGTGTTTTGAAATTAAATTTGCTTTCTTACAAAGATGTTTATGAGGGAAAGTTTGCTAATCAAATACAGAATATTGCTGAAATATGTTTTGTTTGAATTTTAAATATGATAATCAATTCTCTTAAAGACGTTTTCGGGAGTTTTCATATAGACATATATAGTCCAAGTTAAAATTAAGTTCCATAGAATTTCTTTAAACTTGGCATGTTGTAAGAATATGATAACAGAAACATTTTTAGTGAAAAATAATTTGCCTGTATGTCTATATGAAAACTCCCGAAACAGTCCTCAAGGAAGGAATTTGTACTAATTTATTTGTTTTTCATTTCTTAAATTCAAGTTTAGTGAATCAATGCAGAAGGTGTTACAGATGGTTGTAATTGCCATGGCAACATTTAGTGAATGTTATGAGGAGACTTCTCAAGTGATCCAGATTGCTTCGTCTTTATTCAACAGTGGAAAATACCTAGCTGATTATGATCTTAGAGCAAAGCAGGTTTGAATTGTTCACAGTTTTTATTTATGTCTGTGTGTTTTCTATATTTTACACAAAACTTAAAACATATTTTTGGTCAGATCTAAGCAGTTCATCCACCTCGATAGCTAATGTAATTACAAAGTCCTACGTAAATAACTACTTCTCCCACATGATTACTGAATCATCATTGAGAGACAAATGAGCAACAGAATAAAATGGACTAGTTTAATAAAATCCATAGAATAGACTATTTAATGGATAAAATATAGAATGCACTGTAAGATAAAAACAAAACATTTTTTTTTTGTCTTTTTTTAAGTGAATATGGACTTTAAATCGGGAATATTCTGAGCGTTATGATATTTTTCCAGAAAAGGAATACAGAACATCTTGCTAACTCAATTATCAATGTTTGTTTTCTGTGTCTTTCTATTTGGAGTCCATTGTTAAGCAAGTTTGAAGAATTTTAATAGTCACTTGCAACATAACCTTCCTGATAAACAGTCCATTGTTTTAAGACAATGAAACAGACAAATATTACTTGGTAACAAATCAAGTGACTGACTCACATTTTTACTAATTTCGTAAAACAGGACCGGCCATTAAAGTGGTAATTTCTTGCCATTTAAATGAATGCTCTGCCATTAGGATATTTTTGTCCATCATTAATAAAAAATATGCTTGCAACAGACTTGCATGATAAACTTTTATTCAACTCATTCAATAATTTAAGTATTGAACCTACACTCATTCAATATCTTCTATATACAGATATATAAATGTTCAGTATTTATTTCAGGTTGTAGACATCACAAGGACAGGTGATATCAAATTTTGTAAACAATTCTGGTCAATTACAGAGTCCCCGCTACTTCATGTAAGTAAAAATCAAATTCTCTTTGCCTTTCATTATGATTAACATGCTGCCAACAAAGTGTAAGAGGTAAAATTGCACATACCGAACCCTGCATTGAAAAGTATTATTAAATGACAAGGGAATTTTATAGATTTAAACCCTAGGTGATGAGTTCTACAAATTTTTGAAATCCTGGAATGAAGATTGATGGGCTTGATTATCCTGCACTGAATTTTATCAATATGAGTTATATTATTTGGCTGTCATATGTTTAAGCTGATTCTGTAAATATCTTACTGTTTACCATTTTCAAATTTGATGATATCTTACTGTTTACCATTTTCAAATTTGAGGTATTGATTTGATAATTTATTTCATGCTTTCCAGTGTTTTATTGTAATATATCAGATGATTATATTCTGATAAACCACTAGTGAAATTTATAAAATATAATTTTCATTGTAGCCGGAATATATCTAAAGGCGGATGAAAAGAAAATCATAACTAAATGTAATAACAGGCAGAAATAAAAACCGTCGTATGTAAATTTTGCTTTTTTAGGAAAAGAAAGTCGATGTCATCATACATCATGCTAAAAATGTAACAAAATCAGAGAAATTTAACAGAACTATATTTCAAAATTGATGATGTGACGTCATGATGTGATGACGTAACAAAGGAGAATGCGCCACGTTACGTGGCAAAATCATTAAAAAAATAATTAAAATCACTTAAAAAGCATGAAATAAAAAGAAAATTTATTTGTTTTACATATAAGATTGAAATATATTTCATTCGTGAACACCAGCTATTATATTTTCTCTCGTGGCTACGCCACTCGTGAAAATATTGCATCTGGTGTTCACTCAGTGAAAATATATTTCAATCTTACATGCACAACAAACAAATATCCTCTATATCTTACTGTTTACCATTTTCAAATTTGATGTATTGATTTGATAATATCTTACTGTTTACTATTATCATATTTGATGTATTGATTTGATAATATCTTACTGTTTACCATTTTCAAATTTGATGTATTGATTTTATTTATTACAGCAAGTTCGATCTTTTACCTTTCCTCATGTAGAGGTGAGTGAGGTTATTTCCCTTGAACCAGAAAACTTTGATTTACCAACTGCTGAAGGACAGGATGATACAGTGACTATAACTCCGCCTTGTGCCCACACAGGTCCCGCCCCTATCAAAGTCAGACTCATCTCTCATGCTTTAAGAGAAGGAATGGTAAATAAAAAATTATTCATTGATACACATATTTATAACCCGTCTGTTTCGAGGAAAAAGTCCAGCTTTTATGGTCACTGCCTAGTCGTCATTGTCGTTGTGCTGAAACTTGAATCTAGCCTATTATTCAAACATTACAAACAAGCAACTTAGAATACTTGCTTGTCATGACATGGAGCAGTTGTTAGACATGGGACATAATTCTGAAAGTAATATTTTTTGAGTTTTGCCTCTTTAAAATTGAATTTTTAAACAGAAAAGCATTAACACTGCATGCAGTACTCTTGTTATATAATTCAATTTTTTTCCCAAAAAATAACAAATTACAAAAATCAGTAGCTTGATTCTTGTTAAGCAATATTACAGATTTTCAGGAAATCCTTGCATTTCTTTTAAAAAGTATTTGTAACATAATTATTAATGAATCAGTCAAGCATAATTTATTTAGAAATTGTACTGAAGTTTGTTAAGTCAGCTCAGAATTTCTCAGTTACACCCTGTATGATTTTTTTGTTGTTGTTGTTGAAAATATTCTTTGAAAAAGTGAAGAGCATTAAGTTAATAGTTTAAAAGTACAATTTTAATTTATTGTATGGTAACAGGTAGTAATTTGGAAAAAAAAATATGATTTAACGATAAAATGCAATTGTTATTAAGGCTGTGAAATGGAGTTGATAAGTGTCTTTTTGTTTTGACCTCATTATAGAAAAAAGGTTAAACTGATTTATTTGCACATTGTCTAAATTGTATTTTGACGTTTTATTTCCAGCAAGTGACTAGGAAAATGTTTCAGCCAAAGACAGGAAGTTCAAAACCTGTTGTGTTACCACCGTCACCTGGGCTGTTGTTCCACTGCCACGGTGGTGGGTTTGTTGCCCAGTCTTCACAATCCCACGAGGTACTTCTGTTTATAATGTAAAGTTTGAATATGCTTTTTAAATGCTTTTGACCTTGTATAACCTAGAAAAGTTACAGTTGTTAACATTGTATAAGGACTCACATCATATCCGGTGGCTTAAAGGGACTCCACTGAGGTTTTTTGACATGATTGGACTGAAAATATTTTTTCCAGATAAATGTACCATTTGATGAAGGCTTAGACAACTAATCTTTGAGCAAAATTTCAGACCATTTGCGCACTTCGTGTTTTCCAGAATAATTATTCAAATTGTAAAAACATGACCCAAAATGAAAAGCGTTTAAACGCTTTACACTCAAATCAGGCTAAGAACAGCATAAAAATACGATTTTCAATTTATTTTAAAGTATATTTCATAACTATCTTTGCATATATTTCTGTTTAAAGTGCCTGAGCTCATTTATGTAAGACATTCAAATGTTATGTTTTAGGCTTTAATACCTCAGTGGAGTCCCTTTAAGGAATAGTTACTTGTATTTAGTAGCTTTTATAGGGTTACTTTTTTCAGATTTTCAGCTAAGTTTTCGGTTTAAAACATAGCGTAATCTGTTTTAACAGCTTTGAATGGTTAAGTAATGAGATTTATCTCCCTTGAATGACTTCATAAATGTTGATGATTTAAGGATGTTTCAACATTTTTTTTAAGAAAAAAATAATCATGCGAAGAAAAAAATATCGATAAGAATTGAATTCCAGATGAAAATATAATACAGTTTTTAGTGAATTTTTAGAATTAATTGTTTTGTTATGATGTATTACATTAAGCAATTAAATAACATGATTTGCTTTAAAAGAATTTCTTAAATGTATGTTTTACATGCAGTGTTTCTGCCAGAGCGCGTTTTTGCGTTTTTGGCGCACTATTTTCAGCCATGACGCAATGAAATTTAGTCAGTGCGTATTTTGTGACGCAAGAATTTCACCGTCGCTGATTTCAACACAAGTCAGATATACAGACTATAAACCGTCAATTCAGTATAAAAATGTACGGAATGTTTACCGTGGGCTCCACTATAATTTTAATGAGAAATGAAATTTACCGGGTCCGTGGTCCGGCATTTAGCCAATTTCAACTAGTTAATAAACGCTTGCATTTATACGATACTGCATATATTGAAAGCGCCCAGACAAAATTATTTATTTTGTTGTCGTCATATTCTGCGAACGAATAACTGTCTGCTGGAAAATGCAGTCTGCGTATATGTTAGTGTTCATCTGTGCTGTTTACAGAAATTAGAAACTTCGAAAGGGAGCGATAGCGACAGGAGAATGTTTCTAATTTCTGTAAAGCAGCTAAGGATGAACACTAACATATTTAGTGTCAAGCTTTATTTGGCCCTTGATTACGTCACTACGCGGTTTTATGAAACACTATGAAAAATAGAAGGCGACTATGAACGGATTTCGATAAAGTATCAACTTTTTTCTTCTATGAAAATTAACACACAAAAATTTTAATACATACAGCGTTATTATTGGATGAACAAATAATCCAAAATAGCAGAGATTGACCAATTTCTTCACGAAAAATATACAAAATATTGTAAATAAAACTTATAAAGTGTTACTTGTTGTTTTTTTTTTACATTTTTGTTAAATTTATTGGCATGACCCTTATGAATATGAAATGACCCCTAAAATATCATACAGGGGGTCATAAAAGACCCCTTAGAAAATCAGAGCTGGCAGAAACACTGTACATGTCTGAATTTAAGATGAATTTAGGTAACTTTTTCACAGATTATTGCAAAAATGCAGTATTTAGGTATCATATGAAATGTTTGATATTAATGACTCCTACATTTTCTTCAATTTATCATTATTGTAGTAAAGAAATGAATCAAAAGGTACTAACAAAACAACCTGTAGTTGTCTGAGTGCAACATTAATTTTGTATTATTCTGTGTATTTGAGTTATGTTTTTTTTTTAGAACTTTAATTTCAAGATGCTTGTTCACAAGTTTTATCCTGTCATATTTATTTAGCTATTTTTATATACCATGACATACTATTCTAATATTGTCATGTCTAATACACTGTCAGATTTTTTTACAAACCTGTTAGTTTTAGTTTTCTTGTGGAAATAGTCATTTTCGGGTGTGAGAAATACAAAAATCCAAACCTGTACTCAGTACTTTTTGTACTCATCCACTAGCCTGTAATATTTGTCAAACATGATGATAATTATTTGTGTATTAAATTGGTATAGTTCAGTGTTTCCAGAACTTTGTTTATTCTACCAGTATAAAGCCAGACGAGCCCGGGCATCCAATCTTTGTAATTTTGAAAGATCGATTGTATTTTTTTGATATTAAGAATTATAAAGTTGCTTTTTGTATGCAGGGCTGTACATGTTCAATAGTAACAAAGGTTGAGCAGGATGAAAATGTTAAAGAAAATAGGCAAGAGTGTAAACAGTCCTTCCTTTTCTTTTACTTTCTTTCTCTCTTAATTTATTGAAATAAATCTAAACTTGAAACCTGCTGAATTTGTGTGTTGAATGTGCCGTGTTTTGAATTTGGAACAATCCGTTTAAAGTTTAACATAGACTTTTAAAGATAATGATCTAACAACAGTATGTCAGCCTGCATAGCTCAGTTGGATAGAGCGCCAGACTTCTAATCTTGACATTGTGGGTTCAAAGCCAAATTAAATCTTTCTGTATTTTGCCATATCCTCCAAAATGTTTAATAAGTAATACCTTTTTGGAGGACTTGCCCATATTGGTAACCCATGGCGAGTATAAATAAAGTCAAATACGCTTATGGTCACCTTATAAACAGAGTTGGACATTCTTTTTATATTTTAGGCAGATTTATATTCTATTCTTAACATTTGCCAATATTGACTGATTACCAATCACCAGTATAACAGTCAATTGTTTGAAATATATAGTTGATTCAACTCAACTTGACAATGAAAAAATTCTTACAATGTCACCAATAGGGTTAAGTCAAACTTAAAGAGTGTGCATTATTTTTATTTTGACAACCTTCTAATGATTTCTAAGTTATTATTATTAGTACACATGTGAACAAGCTAGTTTTAATTTGACATTGTCGATTATTTTCAGGTACTCACTTTTTGTAGAGATCTATTCACATAAATATATAGATTGTTTTATATTTAATGTATTACCAATGCATTAATGTTTAGCTCACTATAACACAATGTGTTATTGTTATCACTTAATGTTTGGTGACTGTAGTCTAACCCCTGATTTAAACTCACAGAAACTGCACAGTATTGAAATCCCCCCCCCCCACCTCCACACACAGCCAATTTCTCTAGCATTTATTCTCTTTTGCCATATGTACAAATGTATATAATGAACATTTTCTTGATAACTCTCTAAAAATTATAGATATTGAAGTGGTTGCCAATTTAAGCTTGAATGTCTGTTTTAAAGAAAAAGTTGAGCTTTTATTATTGCTGTGTCAACATCGTCATGGATAAAAAAACTTACATGTAGCCATGTATTCAAACATAGATGTCAACATGAAACTTGGAATACTTGCTTATCATGACAAGGTGTAATTAAGGGACATAATTGTGAACATACTATTTTTTGGAGTAATGTCCCCTTTTAGTTAAAAATAGTTATAAAAAATGGTTATTGATTATAACACAGCATGACTTGTGGTGTTTTTGAAATTAATCTAAATATAGAGCTGAATGACTAGAGATTAAGTTACATTTATTTTAAGTAATACACTTAAGATTTGTGATAATTTCTATGAAAACTTAATTATTATTTTAATGAGATCAAATATTGTCAAGTATTATCATTAAAGTGATTTAATCTAGTCTACTATACAGAATTTTCCTATGATTTGTTAAGATATTATTGAAGAAATTGCTCTGACTTTAGCAGTAATGGGCTAAAATTTTTGTATTTAAATAAGTAAATTGTGCTATAATTGCATACTACATTCAATGTTTCACCTGAAATAGTGAATATTTACTCGTGTACATTACTTCACTATTATCTTAAATTTGGTTTTGAAGGCATGCTGCTTTTATAGTTTCATAAGTGATGGCATACATTTGAGATTTTTAAACCATGTAATATAGGAATGAGATTGTAAAATATGCCATCTAGTCATATTGCCTGTAATATTATGTGAACTAATACTGAAAACTTATAAGAACAAAGTGAATATGATTTGATTTTGAATTATTGTTCAGTTACAATACTGTGTTTTTTTATTATAGTATACAGATAACATATTTTTAAATAGCATTTATAAATAGTTCTTAAAATGATATGTAAAGCTTCTGTACATAAAGAGACTCCCTTTGATTATGAAAGATATTTATCAACACTAAGTTGAAAAGCAGTGACTGAGTTAAAATACTTGTATTGGTCAATATGTATTGTTATTTGAAGTACTGTTTTGCTGCTTCACAGTGAGGGAACTGTTAACCTGGGGGATGGAGTTCTTCTGATAACTTGTCAGGAGTTCTTCTGATTACTGTCACAGAGTTTGTAGGAAAACTTTTGTATAGACTGTCGAAACACTTGTCAAAAATAATTTGGAAATTTTACTCAAAACTACCAGATTTAAACAAGAGGCAAAACACATATGAGCCGCGTCATGACAAAACCAATATAATGGGTTTGCGACCAGCATGGATCCAGACCAGCCTGCTCATCCGTGCAGTCTGATCAGGATCCATGCTGTTCTCTATCAGTTTCCCTACTTGTAATAATTTTGGTAAGCGAACAGCATGTATCCTGATCAGACTGCGCGGATGCGCAGGCTGGTCTGGATCCATGCAGGTCGCAAATGCACTATGTTGGTTTTGTCATGATGCGGCTCATATAAGAAAGACACTAGATCTGTTCGTCTAGAACATTGATTTCCAACTAAACCTGCTCTCTACATTAGTCTCACAGAAAACTGTTTATATGGTCTTGTTAAAGTTAACAGACATGAGATCTGCAATGTTTTTGTCAGTCATATTACAGCAATCACTATGCCATTAATTAATTACAATTAAATTATTGTAGCTTAATAAATAGTTATTTTTAACTATTTGAAGTATTTTGATTAATGTACATTAATTAGATTATAATTGTAATTGTACACATCCCTGACTTCAAGTTTTCAGAAAATGTTAATTTCATATTGATAAAAATCTTTTATTAAAATCACATTGTTATCATATTGATATAATTATGTATAATATTACCCATTGCTGGAGTCATTTTTAATACCATTTCAGAAAGTTTTACCTATTTCAAACTTCTTTTTTTTTTTGCTTTCAGAATTATCTACGTGTATGGGCGAGAAAACTTGAGATGCCAATCCTGTCTGTAGATTATGCCTTGGCACCAGATCTCCCATTTCCACGTGGGTTAGAGGAAAGCTTCTATGCTTATGCTTGGGCTTTAAAAAATCCAGAGAAACTAGGTTTGCAATATATAATTTAAACATATTTGGAGAAGAATATATATATTCTGCTTATGTTTAAGCTTAGAACAATTTTATTCCTCTATTTGCTTGCTTATCTCTTAGATTAAGTTAGTTTCACCTTAGTGCAGTAACTGGTTAACTCCTATTAAACTTCAAGTAAATCTGTTATTGCAGCAAGATATAATGTTTTTTAACATTAATGTAACACTGTTTTTGCTTTAAAAAAATACTCCTGGCAACATGTAAAGCAGTTGAGTGGTTGAATATTCTTACTTCAAATCAGTTGCCCCTCCACTCTACGGGTTGAAAGTCTGTAAGGGACATTAGATTCTTTTATTCTTTGGGTTATCTCGGAAAGGTAGAGGGTCTGCTCAATTCACAGATCATGCCTGAAATGGTGCATAAATGCAAGGTTTTTTGTTAGGTCTCCAGTTGGAAGTTCAGTCTCGGTTTGATTTAAAATCAAACCAAATTGTAGTAAATGTTAGAAGACAACTGTTTATTTTTTGAATTATGTAAAACTTGAATAAAAATTGTGAAACCTACAAAGTTGTTTTTGTAGTTAAGAAAACTTCAAAAACAAATGGAAGCCACTATCATGATTATAACAAAAAATATTTTTTTTTATTTTTTTTTAACGGGTTGGACTGGAAAAGCGTATTTTTTTGCGGGAAATAGTGCGGGTGGTAATTTGTGATATTTTACGGCACTCCCGGGCATGTCAAAAACCAAATTTCGTAAAACCGAGTAAAAGTTCAGAAATACCCCCGAAAACCTTTGGTGCATACACACCATAAACCCCGTTTTTATCTAGATTGACCCCCTTTTAAAAACCATAAAAATTCTTCCCGATGTTTTTGCGGGAAAATTTTCCCCTATAAACTTTTAAAAATTTAAAAATACTTCTATTTTTGGTCCAGGGGGCCAAAAAACCCATAAATAAATGAATAAACCGGGACAAAAATAGGGAACAAACTTTTCCCAATCGGGCGACACATTTTGAAACCCCTTGCCCTTTTTTTAAACCCAGGTACATTTTTATTTGCGGGTTTCCCTTTCAAAAAAAATCTTGTTTTTAAAAAATTTTGCGGGCTTTTTCCTTAAAAAAAAATTAATTTAAATTTCCCCTTTTGAACAAAACTGAAAATTATTTTTTTCCCAAATTTAAGAAAAGGGGAAAACCTTCCCCTATTTAAAACAGTCCGGGATAAAAATTAACATAGAAAGTGTTGAATTTTTTAATTTTTTTGAATTCACATCTTTTTTTTATTTTTTTGGAAAGTTTATCGGCATAGTGAAAAAATTTTTTCTAGTGCCCTTTAGCACCCCCATTTTTTTGTAATCCGGGCAAGTTTTAAAAGGGGAAGGTTGTGGATTCCTCTCTTGAACGATGATACTTTAAAGATGTGTTTAGCCAATAAAAAAACCAGAGAAACCCGGGGAAAAAAAATCGCCCAGACCCAGGAACAAATGCAAAAAATCTAATGACCCAGGGGCCCAAATGGAAATCCCTTGTTTATTTTTTCAAAAATGGTTCAGGGAATGATAAAAGCCAAGCTGTAAGTGTTCTGGAAAAAAACAACCCTCTCCAAAAAGTGACTTTTAAAGTTTTAAATTTTTCATACTAGTTTTAGAAAAAAAAGAGAATATCCCAAATCTTTAAAAGTCGGGAAAAATTTTTGCCCCGAGTTAAATTTGTATCTGTGATTAAAATAAACTTGAAAATCCGATTTAAAAACTAAAAAAGGGGGGGTTTTTAAATTTCAAAAAACCAAGTTAAAATTTGATACAAAATCTGAATAGCCAAAAACCATGACAGAAACTTTTCCCAAAATTTTTTGATGAATCTGAGGTTTCAATAAAGGGGGAGAAGATTCTGCCCAAACCCAAAAATGTGAAACTAAAATGTGTTCCAAAAAACGCCCAAAACCCAAAAAACTGATAAAAATTGAAAAACAAATTGAAAAATGAAGGGGTTAATGAAAAACCCGGGTTAAATTTAAAACGGGTTTAATACACTTAGACCCTTTGATTAAAGGGAGCATAAAATTAAAAAAAAAGGGAAACCCAAAGCTTATAAAAACTGAAAGAAAAAAATCTGAATGAAAAAGTGAAAATCCAAAATTAAATTATAAAAGGAAGTAAAAGGGACCTATTGGATGAAATAGTTTCCCAATGTAGTAAAAATTGCAAATAGTGAGACCAAACCCATAAAACTGATAAAATGAATTTAAAAGATCCTTCAGAAATTTTAATCCTTATGCCAAGAGAAAATTAACAAAAACAGAGTTTTTTTGACCCCAGAATTAATGGTGAAAAGGAAAAGAAATTTTAAGGGCCTTTCCCTTAAAAAAATTTTGAAAAGGGTTCTGTTTAAAGAAATTAATGATTATCTGAACAAAAATATTTCAGGAGGGAAATTTTTAAAAACTTGGACAGTGATACCAAAAATGAAAAAACAAATTCATTTGTTTAGTGGAATAAAAAGGTGATACAGATAATGTTTTTAGCCTTTGACAACAAGAGAAACAATTTTACCTCAAAAAAGGAATAATCAAAAACAACTTTTTAAAAGAGGCCATATGATTTTTAAGATTTTGCAACCCCTTTTCATCCGGGGCAGTTTTCAGCCAATTTTTCACCTCTAAAAGAAAATCAGGGTTCACCAGTTTTCTCCCTTGTAAACCGGGGGGGGTTTCCCCGCCCCAAATTGGGTTTCGGTTAAAAAGGAAAATTTGGGCTCAGACCCCCATAAAACTGTTCCCCAATTTGCCTATTTTAAAAAAATATTAATTCCCCCGGGTTGGGCTCCTGATAAAAGTCTGGGGAAATTTTCCCACCGGTACACTTACGGGAAAATTTTTAAAACCTTAAAAAATTTTATATTTTATGCCTTATAAATTTGCGCTATAAAAGCCAGATTTGTCAATTTAAAGATATTTAGCTGTGTAAAACAGTCCATCCCATCTTTTTTCAAAACTGGGGTTTTTTACAAAATTCTGATTATTGATTGTTTTTGTTTTTGGGTTTAAATAAAAACAAAAAAAAGTTTTAAGTCAGAGAAATAATGCATTTAAACCCAAGATTATCTTTTTAGTTTCTGGGTTTAAAAAAAAAAAAATTTCCGGGTTTAACAATAAAAGTGATAAACCTTTATTACAAGCTAAAAAATTTTTGATGATGAAGTTTTTTTTAAAATTCTTTTTTTCATGTATACAAAAAACTTTTGAAATGATTTTTTTTGAAAAAAATTTCCCTTTTTTTTTCAAAATTTAATGAAAAAAAATTTTTAAACAATGTTTTTGTTTTTAAACAGGCTTTGTTTTTTGATCCATTTCTAATAATCAATCATTTCCCCAAAGAATTTTAAATAGACTAGGACATTTTGTCATTGAAAGGTTTAAATAACCTCCCCCCATTTCCCCTCATTTTCTGACCATTGTAGAGCAGAAAAACTTCAAAATTTCTGCTGGGGAAAAAAAAAACAAGAGGGTTTAGAAACCCCCAATAAATTCTAGATTTTTAAAATTACTTTTTTTGTGATATTTGGGGCCCCTTAAAGATCCCCAGTTGGTGAAAAAATGTCTTTTTTCCAATTTTTTTACATGTTTTTTTTTTTTTTTTAAACTTAGAACACAGTAAAAAAATATTTTTTTTTTTAAATTTTAAAACAAAACATTTTAGAAAAATTTTCTAAATGAATACTTTTGTTTCCTTACTTTATTCCATATTTTGGGGGAAATTTAAAATCCCATAAAAAACTTAAAAAAATTTTTTAACAATTTGTAAAACCCCTTCAAAGATCTATAGTTTATTAGGAGTTTGTTGGCCTTTGGAACAAAATATTCTCCCATTAAACCCGGAATATTTTAATATCAAGTAGAAAATTAAAGGTTTTTAATACAAAATTTCCTTATTTGCGTGCCCTGATAAAAAAATTTTTTGTTAAAAACTAAAAACTAGAAAAAAAAATTTAAAAAGTTTTCAATAAAATTTGTTCCCAATGTTTGGGGTTTTGAGTTTTTGTCACCGGGGGTTTTAAATTTTCTAGATGAAGAAAAACATTATGTTTTTTAAACCTTTTTGTTTCTATTTCCGGGCCCCAAAATTTGGGGGAAAAATCATTTTTAAATCTGTAATTGATTTCAAAAAATTACAACCCAAATTTTTTTATTGATTTTTTTGCTTTAACTTGGGAAATAACTCTTTGCATTTACCTGTTATTCATCAAAATAAAATGTAAAATTAAATTTGAGTAATAAAATTTAAAAAGGTCATGGGCAGTCTAAAAAAAATTCTCAAGGGTCCATATACTTTAGGTCTTCCTCCCCCTTTAAAATTTTTCATAAAATATATAAAAAGAAATCGTATTTTGGGGCTTAAACACAAAAACAAACTTTTGAAAAAAAAAGTATAATTAATTTTACATAAAAAAATTTGGGTTTATGGTATTTTTATAATATCCAAATTTATTTCTATTTTTACCAAAA